ATGTTTCACTTCTAGTCGCACCATTTGGGCCCCAGATGAACTTGAACGTGAACGTGAAAAAGAAATATTACACAATCCAACACTGACTTCCAAACTGATAGTTCACGACTGAAAACGATTCCTTGAATACTTCACACTTTCTTGAAAGTTCTTGAAGCACTGATCTGCAAGCACTGACGAATATTTCCCCTTCAGTTCTCAGAACAAAGCTGGGCTATATTTGGCTGACCAGGTCACGAACACTCATATATAAACGTAAATATTATCGAAGCCAGTACCGTGATAAACGATTTCTATGTTCAGAGCTAAGGAATGAACCTCTGACATGACCCTGCGTGGGTTTGTTTTGGTTTCAAACCCAACATAAAACCGTCAGCACTGACAAAGAGTGCACGTGTCCTGTGTCATAAATGAATGACATTAGGCCAACTCGGGTTGCTGCCTCTGTCATTCATTTGTGACATTCGTACGATAATCCTCACCATAATACAATCATCGCACCCAATGTGCATACATTGAAGATTCAGGATAAAGATGAATTAACTCATGCACTAACTCAATCCTTAATTGAGTTAGATAAGATTGGGTTACGTAAGCATGAGACCTTTCAGAAATTGCCTTCCGCACCAACTAGTGAGGAAGATATAACAGGTTTCATAGCTAAAGGCCAAACTGAACGATATAGTCCACCTGTGGCACAAAATTAAGAAAAAAATTGCACAAACCAGACCCAGGGAGTAACCCATTGTTTGAATATAGACTGAAGTAAAAGGTTTGCTGTAATTGATCTACATCAAACTTTTTTTGGTGAGGGTGGTGTCATAAGGAACAGAGCCCTCTCTTATTTTAGGATGTCATAGGGACCAGGCAGCAAGCCCTCCTGTTATTTTAAGCTGTCAAGACCCAGCGATAACCACGAACTTTTAACATGCCACAGGATAACTTATTAGTATTGGGGATGGCTGCAGGGTAAAATCACGTACAGCCATTCAACAGTATAAACAAAGCGTTAGTGAGCAGTACTCACTAACTGTGAGGGAGGTCGAGCTTATTAGTTTTCATGCTTATGACTGGGTCAAAGGAGTGGGAATACACAACACATTCCTTTGAGCCAATGCATATTTTAAACTTCCTCCTGAGGACAGTCGACAGTCAGCAGCCAGTGGTGTAAGTCGTCTGTTCGACTCACTTAATAAATCTATCCTATCTACCAGACTGGACTTTGAGT